GCAGAGACAAGAGGCTCACAAGTTGGAAGCCAGCCGGCACAACTTAGCAGAGACCTTGTGTCAAAGTAAAGCATTTGAAAAGGGCTGACGATGTAGTTCAGTAAGAGAGAGTGAGGCGGGGGAGAGAGAGCTGATGAAACGGAATCAGATCTGTCCTCTGCTTGTCTTTTATCTGTGCTGTGTGTGTACCCACCTGTGTCTATTTTTAGAGTAGGGGATGTGAGAGCAGTAAATCAGGAAATATGTAAGATACAAAGTGAATTCTTTTTTTTTTTTTCGAGTTTTTTTTTTTTCCCCCCCGAGCTTTACTGCACAGTTCAGGCTGACCTCGAACTCACAGAGATCATCTTGCCTCAGCCTCCCAAGTGCTGGGACTTCAGGAATGTGCTATCACACCCAGCCTTCAAGTAGATAGATTCCTTCCTGTGTGGTGCTAGGGATCAGACCCAGGGGCTTAAGCTTGCTAGGCAATGGGGCTGGAGATTTAGCTCAGTGGCATAAGTGCCTGCCTGGTATGCACCAGGTCATGAGTTTGATCCCTGGTACCAAAAAAAAAAAAAAAAAAAAAAAAAAAGGAAAGCTTGCTAGGCAAGAACTCTACCACTGAGCTGCACCCCCAGCCTCAAAGGTAGATTTATTATTTTAAAACATATTTTAAATCCTGATTTTTAGGGTTGGGGTGGTGGTGCATGCCTGTGATTCCAGCACTCAGGAAGTCTGAAGCAGAAGGACCACAAGGTCAAGCCCAGCCTGGGCAGTTTCATGGCTTAGCAAAGTCCTGTCCTAAAATAAAATACACAGACTAGGGATGTGGCTCAGTGCCGCATCGCTGAATTTGATTCCTAGTTATCTACTTCCCCAGAAACAAAGGTTCCAGAATTTAAAACATCCACATCCTTGTCCCCAAGAAAGTGGTCTCTTTTGAAAGGACATTTTTTGGAGCCATTGCTTAAAATTTTCTGAACCCAAGAGAACCAACTCTTCAGACTCAGAGAGCAGAGTGGATTGTTGTCTTTTTTTTTTTTTTGTCTTTTTGAGACAAGGTCTTGCCATGCAGTGCAGGCTGGCCTTGAGCTCACTTTGTAGCCCAGGGTAGTCTCGAACTCGAAACGGTCCTCCCACCTCAGCCTCCTGAGTGCTGGGATTACAGGTGAGAGCAACCACACCTGGCTCATTTTCTTTTTTTTTGGTCTTTTTCCTTTTTATCGGTACCGGGGATTGAACTCACCACTGCCTGCTTGCAAGGCAGGTGCTTATGCCGCTGAGCTAAATCCCCAGCCCCATTTTCTTGTCTTTTTGACACAGGATCTCACTATGTATTCCAGGCTGCCCTTGCCCTTTGCCCTGGCAGCGATCTTCCTGCCTCAGCCTCCGAGTGCACCTCCATGAAATGTTAGGCTTGTGTTTTCTTGTGTTTGTTTGTTTTGTCAGGCTGTTCTGAGGACAGTGGTCTTACTCTGGTGGAAAGGATGAGACACTCAGCTCACTGCCCACTAATCCATGCCCAGCCCACCGAGGGAGATGCTGCCCAGAAAACACCAGGCACCCAGCAGCTCTGGGTGTGCAGCGAAGGCTCCTCACACTTGTCCACTTTGCCTTTGTGGCTCCTCCTTTTGTGGTCTCTCCTGCCCACCACAGTGGGTCAGACCCCATCCCCGATGGTGCCTGGTTTCCTTGTCTGCATCACAGCTTGTTCTCCCAGCAAGTTGTAACTTTCTTGAGTCAGGAACAGAATCTCTCAGTTCATCTTAGAAAGTTGATTTTATTATTATTATTTAACTTTTTGAGAAAGGGTCTCACTATGCAGTTCAGGCTGGTTTTGAACTCACTTTGTAGCCTAAACTGATCTCAAACTCAAGAGGACCCTTTCTGCTTCAGCCTCCAGAGGGCTGAGATTGCAGGCATGCACCACCACACCCAGCTTAGAAAATTGATTTTGTAAAATAATAAGTGTGAATACTATTAAGACAGGGTCTTTCTATGTAGCTCAGACTGGCCTCCAAGTTGCAGCCTCCCAACTGCTGGGACCACAGGCGTGATGCTTTGGCTATTATTATTATTATTTTATTCCAGTCATCATCTTCAAATTGGTTATTACGGGGCTGGGGATTTAGCTCAGCGGCATAAGCACCTGCCTTGCAAGCAGGCGGTCGTGAGTTTGATCCCCGGTACCGTTAAAAAAAAAATGGTTATTATTATTAATGCAGCTTTCCTTGCCAAATCGTCCATTCTGAGAGCTCAGGCTTTCACACGCGCTCTCATTTCCTGGGGTCCTCATTTAAAACGCGGAAGTAGGAAGTAGACAAATTCTAAAACAATTTGGTGCATTTTTTTTGGTTTGTTTTGGCATTGCGGATGGAACCAGCGTCTTGCTGCCAGGCACCCTCTGAGCCCTGAGCTGCATCCTTGGCCCCTTTTTGTTTTAACTGAAAAGAAAAAAAAAAAGACCCCTTTGAAGAGCCCTCGTGGGACTCAGATGAAGCCGGAACAGTGGACATTTCTCCCACAAACAGCTGAGAGTGTGCAGGGAGCCCGCTTAGCCTGTGCCACTGGTGTTTGTACCTAGAAGCATCTCTCAAACCCCACCCCTCCACCCATCCTACTGTGGGTCTGGAAGGTGTTTTACTTTCCCCAGGGCCTGGTTCAGGGTGTACACTGAAATAATCTAATGAATGGCCACAGTGGCTCCTGTTTGTCTCGGGAGGCTGAGGCAGGAGACTCGCCAGAGTTCGAGGTCAGCCTGTGCTACGTAGTGAGTTCCAGGCTAGCCTGAACTGCACAGCGAGACCTTGTCTCAAACAAACAAAAAGCAAACAAATACCTTTGCAAGACTGAGACGAGGGTTGGAAGCAAAGGGAAGTAGAGCGGCGCCCAATGTGCTATGGGTAATTTATTCTCATACTCCAGCATCCTGAGTTAAAATTATATACCGGGAATTCAGAGGCAGGATTTTTCCCACTATACCAGGAGTTTCAAAGAGAAGATCCGGCCCGGAAAATTGGAGACTCAGACGGGCCCGCCCCACTCCGCGGCCGAGGCTCCGCCCACCCATCCACGCACAGCGGCAAGAGACTCCGCCCCACCGCCGCGCCGTTCCAGGAGCCATTCGTCAGTGTCGAGACGCAAGCCAATCGGAGCAGTCCTGCCATTCTGTCAGCCAATAGGCTGGAGGCCTTGGACTGCGCCAGGGAGGGGGCGGGGCCACGTCTGGTCCGTGTGATATAAAAGCAGGGGGGAGGCAGAGGCCGTTCGTGTGTCCTAGTGCTCCTGGTCGTCTGGGTCTCTGTTCTGGACGTGTCGTGGTGCACTTTAGTGGTTGAAAAGAGTGGACCAAGTGGGCACAGAGGGAAGGACGAGGAGAGGCCTCAGAGGATGGGAGGGGGCGGGAAGGCGGGGCCTCAGCCTTTCCTGCACGCCAAACCCGCCGGTGACGCCTGGTCCTCACTGTCGCTGCGGGCTCCGGCTCGTGGGCGCCTGTGGGGCCCGGGGACGCGGCAGGCGCGACTGTAAAGACCGGGGCTGGGAGATGGGCAGCAGTGCCCACGTGGCCGGGGCCTCGAACGCCCCGAAGGCAAGGAGCACGGGGACCCCCCTGTCCTTACGGTGTGCGCCAGGGGCTAGGGTGGCAGAGGCTACGGCAGACACTGGCACCTCGTGTAGAGTCCTGGTGACCGCTCGATGGAGCAGAATTGGCAAGCCTGTCTTTGAGGCGCCACCCGCACGTACCCACAGCGTGGCTGGGTCTGGTTGCCAGGAAGCGACCGTCCTGCCCAGGCGGTGGCAGGAACCAGAGGCTGGGTGTGGTCCCTTGTTGCTGGAGTATTTCTGGAGACTTTTTCCAATCCTGTAGTCACCCAGGCCCCTGAACTACTCCATTTAATTATATACTGCACTCTTTTTCTCCTTTGGAGTTGCCTTTTTGTGTAACTTACTGGAAAAGGTTATATACAGTGTTCACATTACCATATCTCTGTCATTTTCTCTAGTGGCACAAAAACACAAATTCAAAGCCGGCTGTGATTGAGCACACTTGTATTGACAGCGTGTAGTAGCTCAGCCTGAACTACACTGGGAGACCATATCTCAAAAAATCCACTGTAGGGTTCGGGATATAGCTCAGTGGCACAGCACCTGCCTGGCAAGCACGAGGTCCTGAGTTCGATTGCGAGTATCCCCCCCCCAAAAAAAATCCATTGTGGGGGTTGGGAATTTAGCTCAGCGGCATAAGCGCCTGCCTTGCAAGCAGGCAGTCGTGAGTTCGATCCCTGGTACTGATAAAAATGAAAAAGACAAAAAAAAAAAAAATCCATTGTAAATATCAGATCCTAAAGTCTCTCGGTGCCGGACCCAGTAACAACAGGAGCCACGTCTATTCACAACTGCGCCCAGTACTCTTTACTGGAATAGCAGGCGAAAATTCCCGCGCGCGAACTGCCGCAGAACTCGCCTGGCTGGTCAAACTTGCTGGTTGCTACGACAACGCCCAGTTGCAAGTTAGTAACAGAGGGGCGGGGTTAGTCAGGGCAGCGAACTGGCAAGGCGCGTTTCCCGTCATTCCCTCCAGGTGGCGCTCCAGGATCGCGAATGCGGTCTTAAGGCGGGGTTTCCTCCTGTTCTGGGCGGCTGCGAGGGGCAGGGTATGGGTGGGGCGTGGGGATGCCCCGCCCCCACGTAAGGATGGGCCAAGAGTGCTGGAACCCCAAAGCAGAGCGGGGCTCGGGAATGGGGACGCTGGAGGTGCGTGCGTCGCGGAGATGGACAATCCGCAGGTTCCCGGACGGAGAGAAGCAGGCACTCCTGCCACGGCGCCATGTCACACTCATGCCCGGCCCCCTCACTGCACAGGGGCCAGGGTATCCGCGTCGCAGCCCTACTGTGACAGTCTCTTTCCCTGTCCCCAAGCTCGCAGCCAGACGAAGGGGCGTATCTGAGTGGCACTGGACGTTGCTCAGGAGCCCTGTCCGGACCCACCCCCCTCAGACGAAGAAAGGAGGAGACCCTTGGCGGGAGACAAAGCAGGTTTATTGGGGGCCAGGAAAGGCAGCTCAGTGGTCCCTCAGGTCCCCCGGGGTGGGCCAGAGCTCTGGGAAGGGGGACAGCGCACGGAGCGCTTGGGGCCTTTGGACTTGGGCCAGCATTGCCTTCACTTCAGTAACGACCATTTAATTTGTTCCTTGGCGGACTGCAGAACCTGGGGTGGTGCGAGAGGTAGCAAGTTGGGGAGACCGTGAACAGCTGGCTTTCCCAGCTGTGAGCTGCCAGGATCCCCGGCGGCCCTGCAGCCCCCGGGCACTAGGTGGCAGCAGCGCCTCTCTGCTTGCCCGGAGGCCAGGCCCGCCCGGCTCTCTGGTTCCTGCCTTTGCAGCCCTGCTGGCGCCCTGCCTGCCCCGTGCCACGCGGATTCCCGCCCACAGTGCCACGTGCCCGCGCAGGCAGGGCTCGGCCGCACCCCAAGAGCTCAGGGCGGCCCGGGCTCGGGCTGGCATCGTGTTCTCAGCGCCCCAGCCCCACCTGCCCCTGACAACACCAACCAGCAGGGGTGAGCAGCAGGGACGAGGCGCCTGCTCACGTTGTGTCTTCCTTTCTCTGGCACAGAGGGCTCCTTCACTTCTCTTAGGGGGGCTCTTTCTTACTTTCGCCCCCCATTTGTCCCTACTGCTTCCTACTGGTTTATTATTTTGGGGTTTTTTTTGCCCTGAACTCACTATTTGACCCAGGCTGGCCTCCAGCTTTTAGGGATTCCTCCTGCCTCAGCCTCCCCAGGGCTGGGCTGACAGGTCTGCACACCACACCTAACTCAGTACTTTGTTACTATTTGCTCAGCTCAGTGCCCCCCCCCAAGTGCTGTGCACCTTGAAAATGACCATGCAGCGGTTTTGCCTCTTGCAGGGCACAAGGATACACGCGGAAGCCGAGGTTAGTGTGGAAAGTGGGTGCCCACCAGCTGGCTGGGGATCTTGGCAGAGCCACCACAGGAGGAGGAGGAGTCAGTGCCTGGCATGGAGCTCCAGAGAAGCAGGGTTAGTCTGAGCAGAGACTCTTGCAGGCTGATGGAGAGGGTGGGCTGTTGGCCTCACAGAAGTCCATGCAGCCTCAGAGCTGACCTGGCTGCAGATTCAGGGCCTCATCCCAGCCAAGCACACCCGCATGCACCCCGTTAGTTCCATGCAGAGCGTGGCAGGGGTCACTCGGGGGTGAGGGGTCAAATGTCGAGTGGGGACATCAGATCCTGTTATGGCGTCCGCTTGTCTTTTGCAGTACTAGGGACGGAACCCAGGGAATGCTGAGCTCCAACCCAGCTGTTTTTATTTTACTTTGAAACAGGGATCAGCTATGTGGCCCAGGCTGGCCTTGAATTTGCAATCCTCCTTGCCTCAGCCTCCTGAGTCCTGGAATTACAGGTGTGTACCACCATGACCAGCCTGTGATGGGACTGAGTCCTGTAACACAGCTGTGTGCTGTAGTTTCAGCTACTCAAGAGGCTGAGGCAGGAAATTCACTTGAGCCCAGGAGTTCAAGGCAGCTGATAGTGTAATGAGAGCATCTTAAAACAAAACAAAACAAAATATAAGGTGTTCATTGTGGGTCCAATCCAGCTAAGCCAGCCCCAGAGCACAGGCAGCAGGTGGCACTGTGCCCACCCCCTAGGAGTGCCCAGGTGCCCATGTGGGGAGCAGGTGGTGGTGTCTGTGATTTTCACCACTTTACCCCTTCTTGGCCTTGGCAGCCCCTGGGGTGCCCCCTTCCCATCTCCAGGCTGTCTCTGGCCAAGGCACATGGATGTGGGGGACCTACCTGGGCCACACTCTGCTCCGCCAGGCCGCTGTCCTCTGTCTGTGGAGAGGTAGTGAGGGGAGGGGTCAGCCTGTGTCAAGGTACAGGCCAGTGGGGTGAAGAGAGGGGCTGCGGGTGGGGGTGCGTGGGTAGCGAGGTCTGGAACCAGTCCTGTGCCCTGGGTCTGAGGAAGTCCTGCCACCCCTCCCATGGACACCAGGACCCCAGGGCCCTGTGTGGTGCCTGGAGGCTCAGGGGTGCAGGAGATAAAGACAGGAGGAGAGGTCTCTTCCAGACACAAGAAACCCAACGTGGGGGCGCTACTGCACCCCACACCCCATGGTATCCTGAGGATGGCCTTATTTCCTGGTTACACTTCCCACAGGGAGGGTGGGGAGGGGATGGCACCCTGCAGGGGAGAGAGGACAAGAAGGTTTTTTTTTTTGAGACTGGGTCTCACTATGTGGTCAGATCCTCCTGCCTCAGCCTCCTGAGTGCTGAGGGATGGTGTGTACCATTGTACCTGGCCAGAGGTTGGGTTTCTACCACTTGGCCCTGCAGTGGCTGCCCAGAGAGAAAGGGATGTGGCCTGAGGAGGTGGGGGCGTGGTAGAAAACTCACCCTAAAATTCACTTTCTGGACAACTTGCTGGGGGTCACTCTCCAGGATCACACTGCAAGTCAGAGGAAAATCAGCAGCTGGGTCCCAGGCTTCCTCTGCGGACCACGCTGCGGTCCTCTCTTGTGGGTGACCTGCGCCATCTCACCCCTGGGACCCCTCCCCAAGTCACTCCCCCAGCCCCAGCCCCAGCTCTGCTTCTTCCGCAGATTGCCCTGATCTTCATGAGAAAGATTGGGAAATGGAGGCTGGGCGTGGTGAGGTACGGCTGTCATCAGGATTCCGGAAGCTGAGGCAGGCACCTGGAGTTCAATGCCCGCCTGGCTTACATAGGAAGACCCTATCTCACAAAGCGAACAAACAAAACAAAAACCCCAAAGATGGGGCTCACACCAACAGCGGCCTCGGGTTCCATGGGTAATGGGGGTGCGGACCGGGACCCTGGGGCTGTGCCGGGGGAGCCATCACTGTGTCCACCATCGACTGGTAGATAGTGACCCCTTCCTCCGCCCCGCCTACCCGCCGTCCACGATCTCGTCCAGCACCAGGAAGGCCCCGTCCAGGTTCTCCAGCAGCCAGCGCTTCTCCACGTTCCTTCTGCGCAGACACGGAGCCTGAGCCCAGGCCGGAACCGGAACCGGGACCAGGACCACAGCTGCTCCCCACTCGAGAGCCGGCTCAGCCTGTGCTCCCCCAGCCCATCTCTCCCAGCCACCCTCTCTGTGACACCAGCATCCACTCAGGGACCCCAAACGCACCCCGCACTTGGTATAGGTTCGGCAGCCCTGCAGTGCGCCTGCGCACATCTATTTTTGGCTCATCCTAGGTGGGTTTGCTCCGGCCCCGGTCTTGGTGGGTTGGAAACATAACACAATGAGGACGCTGGGAAAACCATCCAGAGCTTCTGGTCAAAACCCCCTGAGCTTGCTGGGCCTGTGGTCCCAGCAGAAGGGAGGCTGAAGCAGGAGGATCATCACCAATCTGAGACCAGTCTGGATATGTAGTTCAGGGCCAGCCAGAAGTACACAGAATGAATCTGTTTCAATAAATTGCACCAAAAAGCACACCACTGCCACTGCCATCACAACAAAAGGAAGCCTGAGTGTGAGGCAGGAGGAAGGCATGCTCCATTTGACCACTTAGCCCGGGAAGTTTAACCATAGCCTTGTCTCAAAATAAAACACAAACGGGGCTGGGAGTGTAGCTCTATGTGAAGGCTTTGGTTTTGATGCTCAGTAAAAAGAAAAAACCAAAAGCCCGAGTTGGGGCCTCTGCCCTATTAGTAGGTATGACCTCAGGCAACCCGGAGACATCTGCTGACCACACCTGCCCGCTCTGCTTCACTCTGCAGGGAGCAGACATGGATGCAGGGCTCTGGGGGCTTCTGTCCTGGGTTGGCAGGGACCTCAGGACTGCAGGGAGAGGGAACCTCCCTAGGACAACAGAGACCGTGGGCCAGGCCCTGCAGGCAGAGGCTGTCACTCACCTTAGGATGTGACTCAGGGACTCAAAGAGGCAGGAGAGGACAGACGCAAGCATCAGCTGGGGAGGAAGACATAGCAGCTGAGGACCAGAGGCCTGGGAGCCGTTGGCCACCCAGAGGACTGCGGTGCCAGCCTCCCCTGTTCACAGAAGGTAGGCTGGAGATGACGGCATTTTAACCTGAGAGGGAATTTCAGGGGGTCCGGACAGGGTAGATGACGGTTACATTAAGGAAAAGTCACAACTGGGCCAGGCACAGTGGTGCCCGCCTGTCATCCCAGCACTGTGGAGGCTGAAGCAGGAGGATCACCACATATTTGAGGCCAGCCTGGGCTACAAAATGAGTTCAAGATCAGCCTGAACCATACAGTGAAACCTTACTTCAAAGAAGATTAAAAAAGGGGCTGGAGGTTTAGCTCAGCAGCATAAGCACCTGCCTTGCAAGCAGGCAGTCGTGAGTTCGATCCCCGGTACCCATAAAAAGGAAAAAGACCAAAAAAAAAAAAGATTAAAAAACAAAAAGCTGGGCATAGTGACACACACTTGTCATCCCAGCACTCAGGAGGCTGAGGCAGGAAGATCATCATAAACCTGAGGCCAGCCTAGGCCCCACGGTGAGTTCAAGGCCACCCTGAACTACACGATAAGACCTAAAAACAAAGCCAAATAAAAATCGATGGGTCCTTGCAGAGGGTGTGGTGACCTCAATTCCTAGGAACCCAAGAGGTGTCATGGCCACACATCATCCCAGAAAGACCCATGCTGGCTACCCCTCCCCATCCTGGAGCCCAGAGCAGGGGTACTATGGGTGCCCTCCCCACTGTACTCCACTCCCCACAATAGACCCCACCCTGCCCCCCACCCACCTGGACCCACCTCGTTCTCCTGAGAGGAGCCCACCACGTAGAGGAAAAGGTCCACGCTGCTCTTGTAGACGATGGTCATGCCCCCCAAAAATGCGATCTCACCTAGAAGTAGGGGGACTCTCAGCTGTGGCCACTGCTGCCTGATACCAGCCTGAACTCTCCTACCATCCCCACCGCCATGGACTGACTACTCAGTCCCCTCATCTTCCATCTCTGCAGACGGCCTCACGGGGAAAACAGAACAGTGCCCTGGAAGGGTCCACCTGTGCTGGGGTGGGGGCAGCCGGGCAGTAAGGGTCCCAGGTGAAGGGCAGAGGAGCAGACAGACAGCCCAGAGGGAAAGGAAGGGCCGACAGGGACAGATTTGTCCAGATGGTGGGGGATGAGGGTGTTCGGTTCAGATTCTGGAGGAGGAGGAGGAGGCGGATACGTACTCTCGGTCTGGCTGGTTTTGTTGAAGACATTTTTCTCAAAGATCATCTGCTCCTTGGGGGAGGAGAAGGTGTCATCATAATACTGTGAGGGGAGAAGATGGGGGCACAGGCATTCCTCAGCCAGTGCTGCTCCAAGGGTGGGAACTGTGCACGGCAGCCACCCGGGACCCTGGTTGCCCCACCGCATCGATCTTTTTCAAAGTTTACTTTATATTTTTAGTTTGCTTCAGGTGGGTTTGTTTTCTGAGATAGGGTGTTGCTACGAAGTTCAGGCCAGCCTTGAACTCACTATGTAGCCCAGGCTGGCTTTGAACTGATGGTGATCCTCCTGCCTCAGCCTCCCAAGTACTAGGGTTACAAGAGTGTACTATAAGGCTTGGCTGTTTTACAAGCTTTACACTGAAAATAAAGTCCAAATCTCTACTAGCAAGGCTGCTTTAGAGCCTTCTTCTTCCCCTTCTCCTCCTCCTTCTTCTCTTCCTTTTTCAGTGTTGGGGTTTGGGCCCACGGAGCCTTGGGCCCTGCTGCTTCTTATTCATTTGAGGCAGGGTTTTGCTATGCAGTCTGGCTGGCCTTGAACTCACTATTGTATGTGGCCCAGCCTGGCCTCAAAATCACAGCAATCTGCCTGTCTCAGCCTCGCCAACGCTGGGGTCACAAGTGTGCGCCATCACACCTAACTGAATTTACATTGGTTCAACACCAACAAGCCACAGGAAAGACAGGGAAGCCAGGAGCCCTCTCTGAACAGTAACCTCCTAACAGCAACCATTTAACAGATGATTACGCCTGGGGTGTGAAGAAGTCCAGGGGCTTCCCCACAATTCACAGCTGGGCTTCTACACCCCAGAGAGTCTGGCTTCAAACTGGGCTATGGTGAGGATTAAGTATGTAGAGAGAATTTCTTGGCAGTAAACCATAAGGAAATCAGCATTTTTTTTGGTTTGGGTTTGGAAAGCCTCTCCCCTGACTCAGTTTCTTAATCTGTAACTGTGTGGGTTCAGCTGGACAGAGGCCCTGGGTGGCTGATCCTCTCCAGGCCTCTGCCACGGCAAGATGTAGTCAGCTCACCTTTCACGTTTCTGGATGAGGATTTTGCCACTTAGCCCTTGAGCTGCTGCCAAATTAGACCCTGCCCCTCGGCAGGCCCCTGCCTGGGCCAACAAATTCATTGGGATGTTACAAAGTCAAAGGAGTGCTGGCCCCAAACAAACGAAAACCACCGACAATGGGGGTCACACCTAAGATGGATGCTTCAGCTCAGCAGCAGCGAACTGCGTGGAAGGAGGTTAGTTCGGTTTGCACAGGCCACATTTGCTAGGATTGAGACAGAATCAAGTGGAAACAGTGAGATTCACTATAAGCTTCATGTCAAAATCTTGAAGCCTGGTGCCACACACCAGGAGGACTGAAAGTCCAAGACCAGCCTGGGCAGCTCGGTGAATGGTGAGACCCTGTTTCAAAAAAAATGAGATAAAAATCCTTGGGGAGTTAAGTGAGGGCCTTCCCAGTAGCTGACACCCCAGCACTGGAAAAAACAAAGAAACGCAAATCTGGAGTTAAGGCCTCAGATGCACTTAGCAACTCTACACCCCATTTTCTGCATGTGTGAAATTAGAGTTGGACTTTATGCTTCCAAATCCCTATCGGGTTCTACATCCTTGCTGTCAATCCTTTTAGGCACCAAACTGTAGTGCAAGAATGTAGGTGGCTTGCTTAGGGACCAGGACTCCTGGGTCCCAGGCTCCACAGCCCATTGACCTCTCCGGTTGACACCTCCTGGGCCACAGCCTGTCGCCTGGCAGGAGAATGGGGGAGGTGACACTCTGGTTAGGGTGCAAGAGCAGAAACAGGAGGTGCCGCTGGGCAGGTGGACAGCTGGAGGTCTAAGCAGCTGCTTGGTGTACTCAAGACCCCAAATGAGTCACCAGGAGCTGGGTGAGGACCCTTCTCTGGGGGCTGTGGCACATAGGGTTGCTCTGGGAAGGGGGGTTACCTTGGCCAGCAGCCGGCGTCCGTCATTATCTAAGATGAACACAGCCTTGATGGTGTAAAGGGAGGGTTCCTGCAACTGACCGGGGAGGAGGACTTGGCTGGGTCCCACTTCAAGAGGACCCTGTCCAGTCAAGGGCTCCGCGGGACCTGTGACCCGAGGAACTCATCCGGAGGCTCGGGGCACCCAGCCCCAGTCCGCATGGCCAACTCCATGGCCTGCTCCTTGCCCACACAGCCGTCCCCTGCAGGCCCGCGGGTGAGGAACGTCCTCCTGGCCCAAGTTCTGTCATGCACTGACTGCTCCAGAGTCCGAGTCTGAGTGTATCACAGAACCTGGGCTGGGGGGACAGGCGCCGGCCTCCTCGGTGCAGCTGGCGCGGACCCCCAGAAGCGCAGCCGTCACCCACGGGCGACAAGGCGCTCCGCAGGCCCACTCGCCCTGCTCCCCGCCTGGCACTCTCCTCCAACCCCGGCTCCGAGCGCCCCAGAACTTCAGCCGCGCAGAACAAACTTTGCTCCCCTCCTGGGCCGGGCCCCCTCCCTCGGGCGGGAAAGCGGTGGCGCAAAGTTCCCATCGCGGGCGCCAGCTGTGAGTTGGACGCCTCCCCCGACCCCGCGGTCCTCCGGGCCCCGCCGCCCGGGACCCCGCGCCTCCGCGGCGTACCCGCAGCCCCGAGAGCTCCTCAACTCGGGAGGGCGGCGCTGGGACCCCGATGTGGGTCCCTGCGGCCCCCTCCCCGGGATGCGGACGTGGCCAGGCCTCTGGTCGTTGCATTCCGCGGGCTGCCAGGCTGACAGCACCGCCCAGGCTCGCCCCGCCCCACTCCACCCTCTCGCCCCGCCCACCCTCGCCCCGCCCTCTCTCCACGCCCCGCCCCGCTCATCTTGCCTTCTCTCCCTGTCCCCCCCCCCCGTTCTCGCCCCGCCTCTATCCCCGCCCCGCCCACGTTTGCCACGCCCCCTCGCAAACTGTCCCGCCCCTGTGCCCGTCCCCGGAGCGTGGTTCTCCTCCCACGCCAAGGCCGCGCGCACCCCCTGGTGGCCCCAGGAGTACCCCTTTCTCCTGCCTCCTTAGAGCCTGTAGCTCGCCTGACCGTGTTGTAGACGGCGGAAGCCCACTTGCGTTGCTGGACCCCGGTAGCATCAGGACAGAGGTGTGGGGTCTCTCTCTGGGTCTCGGATCCTCTCTCGGAACCGACAGTTCTCCTCATGCCTGGAGTCTCCTAAGCCCCGCGGGACGGTGGTGGCGCTCAGGCTCCAGGCTCTGCGGCTTGGTGGGTGACTCGGGCGGGTGTCTTAGCACACGCTGTGCTTTCAGGGTGCTCTGCCATGGGCAGCCCCACGGAAGGCACCGTCAGTGACACCCACGCCTGGAGGGGACCGGCCCTGTGCGCCCCATACACAGAGCCCTTGCCTTGCCCGCTGCCCTTACGTGCTCCACGGGCCAAGGAAGGGATGAGCTGCAGATGGGCCTCCTGGCCAGTTATGCGGGGACTGGACAAACTTTTTCTCTTCTTGGTGGTCTTGGTGGGGACTTTGTGTGAACTTTTCTTCTTCTTCTTCTTTTTGTTTTTCTTTTTGAGACAGGGTCTCACTGTGCAGTTCAGGCTGGTCTTGACCTCACTTGGTAGCCCAAGCTGGTCTCAAACTTGAAATGATCCTCTTGCCTCAGTCTCCCAAGTGCTGCGATTATGGGTATGTACCATCATGCCCGGCTTGGTATGACCTTTGTTTTATTTTATTGAGACAGGATCTAAATTGTCTGGGCTGGATTTGAATTTGGGGTCCTCCCACCTCAGCCTCCCAGAGTGCATGGAATTAGAGGTGTGATCACTTACAAATGGCCATGGGATACCTATTTTAAACAATTACTCAAGTGTGTTTATCAATCAGACCATATTTTATTTGCTGTACAAATATTTTTCGAGTCCTTACTATGTATAGGTATTTTTCTGGCCACCGATATACAAGAATGGAAAAAACAAAATCTCATCTAGCATGAAACAGAGACTTAAATGCACATATGCATGTACTTCTGTACATGACAAAGAACAGAACAAACAGATAAAAGTGATGACTTGTGAGTTGGTGATAAAAATAAAGCAGGGGCTGGGGTGTGTAGCTCAGTGGTGCAATGGGTGCAGGCCCTGCATGGAATGGGAGCCAGGAATGAGCAGGGTAGAGCCGAGTGTGGTGGCCCAGGCCTTGGAGTGCCAGCATTCAGGAGGCTGAGGCAGGAGGATCACCAGGAATTCCAGGCCCTGTGGAGGGCTTCAGAGAGGCCATGCCCTGTCCTGAGCCCCCTCACAGTGCTCAGCAGTGCTTCTGCCCTGCGGCTCAGCCTCTGTCCTTGCTGAGTCCCTGCCTCTGCAGCTTTCCACCTAGGATGCCAAGCCAGGGACACATGCGTGGACCAGGAGGCTCAGATGGAAGAAAAGCAGAAAGGCTTTCCACACACGGCCCAAAGTTTTAAGGCTTGAGAACAGAACGGGCCCACTGGTACACACCTGTGGTCCCAATGCAGCTGGGGAGGCTGAAGCAGGAGGGTGGCCAGCTCAAGGTCAGCCTGGCTAGTTTGGTGACTTAATGAGATCCTGTCTCAAAGAAAAAAAAAGATGAGGTGTAGTTCAGCACCCCTGATTTCAATCCCTAGTGTGGGGGACAAAAAGATTTATAAATATATGCTATATTGTTACATTCAATTAGCTCAGGCTAGTCCAACTAGTAAGTGAGTGAAAAAAGTTTCCAAAACCCAGCTAAATCCAAAACCCCCCTCTGAACAATAACACTTGGCTGATTGTGACGGGTGGCATGGAGAGCTTAACACCAACAGAAAATTACCCAGTGTTGCCTGGGGCAGCCTAGCAAACCATTACAGGATGGCTGAATGCAGCTCAAAAATGTGAAACCCTGAGAGATGGATGGACAATGGACAGGTGGAGGGTGACTAGGTTTACAGTGGAGAGAAAAGCTGGGCGTGGTGGCCCTCAGCGGTCATCCCAGCACCCTGGAGGCTGAGGCAAGAGGGTCGCCTGAGTTTGAGATCAGCCTGGACTACACGTTGACAAGCGATCTTCTAAGATAGCGTTGGTGATGTGGCCCACGGGACATCACCAATTTTGTCATGAAAATGCATTATGGTGAGTATATAATACCCATGTTTATTCTTTAAAATATTATTATTTATCATTTTAGGAGTTTTAGTAAACAATGAGTACTTAACGGAAAGAAATATTACAAAATTGAATTTTTAATATTTATTATCTATAAAAAACCATCAACATTTTCTTTCTTTCTTTCTTTCTTTCTTTTTTTTTTGGTACCAGGGATCGAACTCATGACCTAGTGTTTACCAGGCAGGTGCTTACACAGCTGAGCTAAATCCCCGGCCCCAACATTTTCAACGACAATTGTTTTTTGGTGTACAAAGTCTAAAACTAACAACAGAAATAAATTCCTAAATGAATTACAATGAAAACACCAATGGAAAGCCGGGCTTGTTGGAGCATGCCTGTCATTCCCACACTTAGAAGGCTGAGGCAGGAGGATTGCTGTGAGTCTGAGGCCAGCCTGGACTACAAAGTGAGTTCAAGGCCAGGCTGAACTGCATAGCAAAACCCTGTCTTGAAAAAAAAAGAAACAGGATCTATTATGTACAGGTACAAATTATGATGAATGTGACAACTGTGTACATCTAAACTGTACTAATAAACTTAATTTTAAAAAAAGACCCAGGGCCGGGTATATAGCTCAGTGGCACAGTGCCTGCCTGGCAAGCATGAGGTCATGAGTTTGATTTCTGGTACCAAAACCAAAACCAAAACTAAACTAAAAATAACCCAAAAAAGACCCGATAGATAACATCAGGAACAGTTCCTTCATTATGTTTTCCCAGCACGCCTGGTTGAAAAGCCTATGCTGTCTCTCACTGCTCCTCAAAATACCTGTGGAACTCTGCCACAAAAGCAATCTTTGCTTCCCCTGTCACGGCCAGGTGTCTTCACTGGGACAGCCCCGTGTCCGTGCGAGGTGTCCTGGCGCTGACGGCACTGTGCCTGCTTCCCTGCGCTGGCTGCTCACACACAGCTGACATCCCCCTTGTCCCCTGTTGTCGAGGTTTCCCTGTCAGTTTTTCCACCTCGATGCAGGGCTGGCATCCGCAGTACCAGTCTGTTTCCCTTCACCCTATACAAGGCCAATGTTATACCTCTCTGAAGTCCGAAGAGTGTGCTATCCAATTCTCTGGTTAGAAATCACATTTCATTTGTTTTATGTTTGTTTGATTATTTGTTTTCTTTTTGTCTTTTTGAGACAATCTTTCACTCTGCAGTTTAGGCTGGCTTTGAACTCACTATGTAGCCCCGGCTGGCCTTAAACTTGCAGTGATCCTCCTGCCTCAGCCTCTCTCTCTCTCTCTCTCTTTTTTTTTTTTTTTTTTTTTTTTTTTTTGAGACAGGGTCTCGCCTGCCTTAGCCTTCCAAGTGCAGGGATTACAGTATGCCCCACCAACCCAGATAATACATGACTATTTTTTCTTTGTACCAGGAATCGAACTCAGGACCTTGTGATTGCCAGGCAGGCACTTATGCTACTGAGCTACATCCCCGATCCCTCTAATACATCACTATTGACGAGTATCTTGCAGCATTTCATGGTCACTGTAGCTTCTGGCAGTGTATTCCCAAAAAACCTTCAAAACATGGCATAAAAATTTATGTCCTTGTTGATGCAAAAACTCATTATGTTTTAAATTTAGAATTTAACCTGGAACTCAGCCATCAGGTCCTTATTCGTATAGTAATAAACCAAATGATGTTATGCACAGACTTGTTGCTCTGTCTCCCAAACTAGGCAGAATGTGACATTTGACAATTGGTTGACTGGTTTCCAATTCATATTACATTTGCCAACAGAGCACCGATGATCAGCACAGGATCTGTACACAGGAACAAAGCAGGAATTCCAGGATCCGTGACATTGCTCAGCAGCATAAGAAGCTGCTTGGCAACCTCAAGGCCCTGAGTTTGATTCCCAGTACAAAAAAAAAAAAAAAAAAAACCAAAAAACCAAAACCAAAACAACACTAAGCAGAGGGTGGTGGCACATGTCTGCAGTCTGTAATCTCAGCATTTAGGAGGCTGAGGCAGGAAGATCACCGTGGATTCAAGGCCAGCCTGGGCTACATAGTGAGTTTAAAACCTGCCGACACTACATAGTGAGACCCTGCCTCAACAAAACAAAACAAAACAAAACAAGTAGTTGTATATTCTGGCACTGTGTAAACTGCTTGACAATTACACACAAATCTCTCAAACCTGAGCAGATAGGAGCCAGATTATCAGTTCTTTTTTTTTCCTGGTGAGTGGTTTTGTCTTTAAACCTCAGGCAGTTCTGAAGGAAACCAGATCCCCTCATGGCCACACCCATTACCTTTCCATCAGGGTTTTAGATTCCTTTGAGGACCGTGAGAATCCCTGCTGAAGATGGCCGAGCTAGGCATGCTTCAGCTCAGCCAGGGAGGTGTCTGTCATAATAAATCTACTTTCAGGTACGGTATGGGTGCATATAGAGTGTTAGGTTTGCATTTTCACCTTTGTGTAGTTCACAGTCTCCTGTAGCATTTCGTCTGTTACAATTTCCCACACTGAATGGCAGCCACTGACATCCTGTCCAGTGGGTTTTACCCCTGCCAAGATCTTCACTATATTTTATTTTATTATTATTTTTTTAAATGCCGCTGAGCTAAATCCCCAGCCCCTTCATTATATTTTAGGACCAACTTCTATCTGATAATTCCATTTGGCTGTGTTATAG